GGGAGATGTCGCTGAAACTGGACTTGCTGCGGTGGATGATGTTAAGCATTGTGGCTCCTAAATATGAAGAACGTTTGAAAAATTTCGTCTAGCCTTCGTTGAGGAGGAGGAGGAAGAAAAGGAGGGGGAGGTGGGGGGGGAGGAGGAGGAGGAGGAGGAGGAAGAGGAAGAGGAGGAGGAGGAGGAGGAGGAGGAGGAGGAGGAGGAGGAGGAGGAGGCGGAAAAAAACCTGAGAGCTTACTGAAAACGGGAAAGGTGGCTAAACTGGGAATGGAAAACACAGATTTAAGCAAATGGACACAGAGGAGAAGGAAGGTCCTAGTGATCAAAGGGGTGCTTACAAGGACTGAGTGCTGCACGGATAACACACTGACACTCATCAGTGGCTCTGGGCTGGAGGGGAAAACACTAGTGTGTAGAGTGCTGAGTGCCTTCCAGGGATAGAGTATCTCCCCTGTAGAAAAAGAAGAAAGCATTGAAAGACCCAAATATCTTCTGATTTGGTTTTTGTTGTCCTGACAACCTTGTTTGATTATCTTTTAGCTTAGTTATTTGCATTTGTTTTGGTTCTTTCCTATATGTCAACCCATTCCCCAAATCCGCAGCACTGTTTCCCGAAAATGGCACATTCCCCTCTTGCTCGAGCCAGTGATGGGGTGAGCAGAAATCTCCCCGCTGTCACCTGCCTTCCAAGCAAACACCAGAGCCACATGTGGCAGGAAGAAGTCCCTTACTCTTCTTCAAGTGCTCATTCACCATCTTACTTTCCGTTACATGCCCATAATGGTTCTAATAATGGGTTGGTAAGTCTTTGACAGCATGGAATCCCTGTGTTCACTTGGGGTTGATACCAGAATGGTTTTAATGTTTCATCAAATTTTTTTCGTTTCTTTTAGGTATTTGCCAGTCTCGGCTTCACATGACTTAACTTGTGTGCTATCTGCAGCACTTGATCTTCCCACACGTTGTAAATGAGTCAACAGATTCTTCATTAAAAAGCATTCTGTTCCTACTGCCCTCCATTTCTGAAGAAGGAAGTGTGAACATTTGAAGTAGTGGCTTAGATTTTCAAAAGTAAAGCAGAAGTTTTTATTTTTTCCTACAGTTTACTTTTTCTGCTTGTTTGAGAGGTCTGCTCAGGAAATGGCCTTTTAACTAAGTGGGTTTTTGAGGTTTGGTTATTTCACAATGTTCTTATATCTTTGGTTTTAGAATAAAACAGACTCCCCAAAATTGCAGCCTCCTTTGAGAAATATATCTGCAGTTCTGCTAAAATAATATTTTCAGATCTTTATGTTTTAGCTAAAAGAACTCTGGTTGACTTATGAGTGTGTTTGTTTCTGGTTTCTTGTCTCCTCCCCATACCACAAGGAGAGAATGAGAGTCAAAAAGAGATTGTTCTGAATTATGGGTCTGAGAAAAATAAATTCACATTTTATTTCATTAGGTATCTTTTTCTTCATTAATTAGTAAAATTCTGGCTTCAATGGAAGTAAAATTATCCTAAGGGACAGAGATGAGAAGACAGTATATTTCTAATTGTCCAAATACAGAAAATCATTTGCCCTTTATGACTTGCTATTCTGCAAATAAGAAAGTTAGTCATATTTTATTTTTTTTATCATTAGCTGACTCTGAATCTTTCATTCTGAGATACCTTTTGTCTTTAACCTGCTGAGCATGGTTGTTTTGTTTGCTTGTTTGTTTTTCCATATTTTGACTTTTACTTACTGTCGAATATGTGCACCCATGATATATAATTGGTCTCTAATTTAGGAGTGATTCAATCTATTTGTTGAAAATATTAATCAATTTTGTGGAGTTTTTGCATTGTTTCATTTTGTTTTGTGGGGTTGGGAATTGATCCTAGGGCCTCACATATGCAAGTACTTGACACTGAACCACATTCCTGGCCCTATGGCGGTGTGTTTTTAAAAATTAATTGTAAAAAGTTATTTTAATTTTATTTATTTTTAATTTAATTTACTATTTTAAATTTTTATTTATTTATTCGTTTATTTTTGTTTTTTGGGTCACACCTAGTGATGCTCAGGGGTTACTCCTGGCTCTGCACTCAGGAATTACTCCAAGTCGTGCATGGGGGACCATATGGGATACCAGGGATTGAACCCGGGTCATTATGTGCAAATGCCCTACCCAGTATACTATCTCTCCGGCCTCTATTTTGTTTTATTTTTAATCATAAAAAAGATTATAAAATGAAAATTTTAATTTAAAAAGAAAAGAAATTTCAAGTAACCTTAGTAATAGTGCTTACAGTGGATTCTTTTTTCATCTATTCACTTAACCATATACGTGCATTCATGGCTACCTAGTTCTAGTTACTGTAAACTTGAGATTTTGTGTGGTTTCAAAATTTTGGTTTTGTTTTTGGCCACACCCAGGGCCACTTCTGGTCCAGTGCTTGGGGGTCACTCTGGCAATGTGGGGGTGGGGAATGCTAGTCTATGTGTGCTAAGGCTTGAAACCCGCCTTCTGCAAACAAAGTAGGAGTTCCAGATTTTTTTTTTTAGCTATTTCTATAACCCTTATGTATTTGTTTAAAAAGAAAAACTAGCCAAACTAAGGGTCCTGAATGGTAGTACAGTGGTGGAGAGCTTGTATTGCACACAGCCAACCCGGGTTTGATCCCTGACACTACATCTGGTCCCCTGAGCATAAATAGGAATGATTTCTGAGCACAGAGCCAGGAGTAATCTCTGAGCACTGCTGGGTGTAGCTGAAAAAACAAACTTAAACAAAAATAATAAGTAGCCAAGTTAAATATTGTATTGTTTAAAATAGCAAGAAGAGTTCCTTATACTAAATGAGAATAATTTTAGCAATACCGTCAAATTCTCAACAAATACTGTTGAAGAATTATGGCGTATTTATATTGACAATGTGGGACTGAAATTTCTTACGCCACGTTGCCTAGATTCAGGTACCTGACTTACTGTTCCTTTTGTCTTCTAGGGCTCAAGAACTTGGATGTAGCCTAACAGTACACAGAATCATGGCAATGCTAGGGGGAGAGGGGACACATTTCTACCAGGATCCCAAATGACATTCTATTGGATGACATTGGTTTGTCTGTGCTCCTCCTGAAGGGAGCTTAGGTTTATTGAATTACTCCCACCACAGTGCTCCCGAGGCACACCAAATTCCATCAGCACTCCTAATCCTAAATTGTGTTGCTTTTTCCTTTATATCCTTTGCATGGTTTAGCAATATCCTTCTTGCATAGACACAGGAAGACAGTTGATACTATGCTTTTGTAACATGGGAGTTAATTGACTCCAATAATATTTACTCCTGAGCATCCATCATATTTACCTGACTTAAACCTTAGTGGTTCTTATTTCCTAACATCCCCAAAAGGAGGGTCCTGGCCAGGGACTTGGATGGACCCAGGGCAAGCTATAAGTTAACCATGGCATCAAAAAGGGACAAGCTAAGAATAATGTTAAGAGCACAATCATGGAATAAACTCTGTCATGACCCAAAAAGAAGTAACTGAATAAGGACCCTACTGGAGTTAGGAAAGACCAACCTGACCTGAGGACTGTGGTCTGGGATATATGGCAAGATGTCTCCAGGAAGAGCCACTCTTTAAGTTTAATATATCTCTAGTACTGTGTTCATACAAAATGACTGGAAATATTAGTATTCAATATGGTTGTTTTAATGAATTACTAGCTAAGAAAAGGAGAAAACAATACGCCTTTAGATGGAATCCCACTCTTGAGCGGATCTCCTAGTAATCTAGAGTGCTGAATCCCAGATGAAATTTTGTCCTTGAGTTAATCTCCTAGAAGAATTTCCCCTGAAGGAGGGACTTTACATCTGCTTATTGTTATGATAATGTTCAACCCTCTCCCCCATGTGTACCTCCACCCTTCATCATTTCTATGTAACTATGCTGTAGGGATGAAATGAATGGTCGCTGTTTACCAGCTTGTGGCCCTATTCCTTCATTCCCTGTTCCCTCATTCACCCCTTTCAGTGGGCTGGTCTGGGGAGGTGGTTCTTGGCCACCAAACATGTGTATCATGCACCCAAACTTCTTGAACTCACAACAGTCAGGGGTCGAATTTACAGTTGCCCACTTGCAAGGCAGACACCAGACCAGTGAATCCATCTCTGGGCTATATTTCAGACTATTCTGGTATTTCTTGGACTTGTGTCCTCCAGGTTAAATGTTATGCTGGCTTTCACTGCTGCCTCACTGCATGCCACACTGCTGGGTAGATTTATACCCACTGAAAACAGCAAATGGAAGAGTAGAGCTTCTAGAATAGTCTGCTGTTAGACAGGACCCACGAGCACATGCCCCCGAGTACTACCAGGTGTGGTCCCAAGAACAAAAAGTAAAATAAAATTAATAAAATGAAATAAAACACCATCTCTGATGAAGAGATGTTTGACACTGTTGACACACACTGGCACAAAACTTCTGGGTACACAGTCCAGGTAGAAGATATCTACCTCGCTACCAGGTTTGGGCCCTATTTCTGGGCCTTAGTGGCCTCTGAAGTTCATTTGGGACCAGAGGAAACAAGTGTCAACAGGCCTTGCGCCTACTGGGTGAGTAGAGGCAGAACTTACTGGTCTGTAATTCTGTTTTCTTTCTTGGAAGCAAGTAAAAATGGTGAAATTTGCTCAAGAGTGATGAGGTGGAACATTTCAGCGCTTAGAAGACCACAAGCTATATTCTGGTTAGCCTTTCGTTTGCTAAGAACTTTAGTTGTAACTGGTTCCTTGGCTGAGAAGGAAGGCACTAGGGCCCAGGAGAGAGGTGATAGCTCCGTTGTGCGACCACAGAGGCTGGTTACATACTAATTTCCTATAGGGCTTGTGATGAAGTCAGTAAACCACAGCCTTCATGCGCTGCTCCGGTTTGCAGTGGGGACTTGGCTTCTCCGTGGTGTCTCGGCCATGACACACAGTTGACATGTTTCCCCGTAGCCCACTGGGAACAGTGTGTCTTGCCCTGCAGCATGGACCAAAGAGAAATTCTGCAAAAGTTCCTGGAAGAGGCCCAGAACAAGAAAATCCACAAAGAGGAGTTTGCCAGTGAATTTCTGGTGAGTCCTACCAGTTACCCTTCAGGGCAGTTGGAGAAAAGGTTTAACTGACAATGATGGTCCCAGTCTACTTGTCCAAGTTACTCTTGGGATAAAGTACACAGAAGAGCTTGCAGGGGAGGGAGGAGCAAAGCAAAACAAGAGTCTGGTTCCTGTGGGGGAGTGAGTGTGTTTTAGATATTGTCTCCAAACTACTGTTTTCACTCTTGGGTTTGCCAGTTCTGGGACTTTGCCGAGGGATTTTGCAGCAGACAAATGTGATGGCAGGTGTCTAAAAACCAATGTGAATTGAGCAGCCTAGTTCTTGGGTACCAGTGCTGGGGGTTCTGCTGGTTCATTTTAATTGAAACGAAGAGGAAAGAGACCCAGATGAGAGAGTCTCTAGTTCTCTAGTTCTCAGGTCTCAGGTCTCTAGTTCTCTTGCAGGAACACAAGGGTTCATGAATAGCACCAAAAAGTACCCACTGCCATATTTCTTGACTCCCTCCCTCCTTTTATTTGCTTTTAAAGAAGAAAAAAAGTTTGTGTGTGTGTAATAATAATAAAGAAAAAAAAGTGTGTGTGTGTGTGTGTGTGTGTGTGTGTGTGTGTGTGTGTAATAATAAGGGTTCCTTCATCTGCTTTGGCTTGGGGAGGTGGAAAGGTGAAGATAGGAAGCAGGGACAAGGAGAGCCTTGAGGTGAGACACAGGTCTGGAGTCTCCTTGGATCTCCAGGGCCCTTAGAACACCAGGGTCCATGGAATACAATTGACCTCCAGGGGAGAAGTCACTGGAACAGTACAGGGGAACTTCATTTGTCCTCACACTGGTGTCGTGGGATGTCTGAGGGGATCGTTCTAGGGTTTGGACCACTCTCACTGGGATTTCAGAGTTATAAAATACTTCAAAGAAGTGGCAAAACAAGAAAACTGAAGTATAAATCCTGATTAAATCATGATTTGGGGGGTGGAAGTTGAGGGGAAGTGATAACAGGCTGAGTGCCTATTTGGCATGCAGAAGACCTGGGTTCAATCCCCAGCACTGCATGGTCCCTTGAGCCCTGCCAGGAGTAACCCCAAGGCACAGAGCCTGAGAAACCCTTATGCCTTAGTGCTGTTGGCTATGACTCTGAAACAATCAAATTTTATCGACTATTCTACATGCTCCTTGATCTTCCCAGTCTCTGCTCTCTTTGAAAACAGTGATGCTAACACTCGTCTTTCTCACCCCCACAGGAACTGTTGTGAAAATTAAGTATCAGTAGGCATAAAAGTCACTGTGGTCATTTGTTCAGTGATAGTTACTGAGCACCAAGTGTTTGTCCCAGCAGGAGCAGGCACTGCTCTGAGATCCAGCCAGGAACACAGCAAAGCCCTGTACTCTGGTGGAACTGACAGTCTGGGACCAGCCAGGTGTGAAAGCACTGCAGAATCTTTTTTTTTTTTTTTTGCGGTCTTTTTTTTTTTTATCATTTTTTTTTATTAGTGAAACACCATGAGGTACAGTTATAGACTTATAAATTTTTGTGCTTGGGTTTCAGTTATACAATGATCAAGTACCCATCCCTCCACCAGTGCCCATCCTCCACCACCACGGGTCCCAGCATCCCTCCCACCCCTCATCCCCCCCATCCCACCCTGCCTCTGTGGCAGGGCATTCCCCCTTGTTCTCTCTCTCTTCTTTTGGGTACTGTGTTTTGCAAGAGAGGCATTGAGTGGCAATCATGTTTGGTCTATAGACTACTTTTAGCATGCTTCTCCCACCCTGGGAGGGTCCTCACAACACCCTTTATTTGGTGCTCTCTTCTCTATCTGAGCTTCCTTTTCACCTAGCACGTGTGGCTGACCTTCAAGTCATGGAGCAAAATTCCTGGTACTAATCACAGCCATTCCTGGGTGTTAGTCTCCCGTTTTGTTGCTTTATGTTCCCCAGATGAATGCAATCTTTCTGTGTCTATCCCGCTCTTTCTGACTCATTTCGCTTAACATGATATTTTCCATGTAGTACCACTTGTATGTAAATTTCATAACTTCATATTTTCTAACAGCTACATAGTACTCCATTGTGTAAATGTACCAAAGTTTCCTTAACCAGTCATCTGTTCTCGGGCACTCAGGTTTTTTCCAGATTCTGGCTATTGTAAACAAAGCACTGCAGAATCTTGAGGGATTAATATTAGGGTGAAATTGATGACACATTCCAGCATGAGGCCCTGTGTTAGCTCACCTTGGATAATATGCCATCGTCATAAATAAACTCTTGTCACCACTAACTAGAAGGGCCGGGTTCTGAGTTGAACTACTCAGAAGGGGTCCTGGCTCCAGAGTGGACTCAGACACGCCTGTCCAGGAGGCTCTCACACCTGAGCAGGCTTAGTGTCCATGCACAGTGGAGAAGGGCACCGAAACGTTCATTTGGTTATTCTTTGGGGGCTAGAGGAAGCACACCCAGGGGTGTTCAGGGCATACTCCGGGTACTGCACTCAGGGACCACTCCTGTTGGGGCTCTGGAGAACTATCTGGGGTGTTGGGAATCGAACCTGGGTCAACTATGTGCATGGTAACTGCCCCAGCTGCTGTAGTATTGCTCTGGCCCCTGGGTTGTTTTTTCCTTTTTAAATACTTTTTTACTTGAATCATCATAATATATACAGTTGCAAAGTTCATGAAAGGGTTTCAGTCATATGATGTTCCAACACTTATCCCTTTACCAGTGTACATTTCCCACCAGCAATGTCCGAAGTTTCCTGCCCCCCCTTGCCTCTTTGACAGACTTTTCCCCCCTCTCTATCTTTCTCTGTCTCTCTCTGTTCCTTTCTGTCTCTGATGCTCTGTCTCTGTTTCTGTTTGTCTGTCTGTCTCTCTCTTCTCTCTCTTTTCGGGCATTATGGTTTGCGATACAAATAATGAAAGGTTATCATGCACATCCGTTTACATCCTTTCAGCACTCAGTTCTTGTCCAGAGTTATCTTTCCAACTATTATTGTCATAGTGGTCTCTTCTCTATCCTAATTGCCTTCACACTCTCCTGCCAACTTGTGGCAAGCTTTCAACCATGGACCAGTTCTCCTGGCCCCTGTTTCTTATGTCCTTGGATATTAGTCTCATTCTGTGTTTTTTATATAACCTGAATTGTTTTTAAAAAATGATGTGTGTGTGTGGGGAGGGGGGGGGAGTTCAGAGTGATAGTGCAGTGCGTAGGGCATTTGCCTTGCAGACAACAAACCTGGGTTCAATCCCCAACATCCCATATGCCCTCCGAGCCTTCAAGGAATGATCCCTGAGTGCAGAGATAGGAGTAATCCCTGAGCACTCAGACTGTAGCCCAAAAGGAAAAAAAGATTAAGTAGAGGATTGGAGGATGCTCAGTAGCAGAGCACATGCCTGGGTTTGATGGTCTGCATCATCACACAATTTAAAGAAAGAATTGAAGTCGACTGCATCCATTATAATGTAACAAATATAATGTTTATAATTATCGCAGGGGCCACACCCAGAAGTTCTGGGGTTTGGAACCCAGACAAAGCTCACACATGCAAGGCTGTACCACCTGAAGCCAGCCCCAGCCCCCGCAGCCCTAATATTTGACCTTTTGTTTTACTTAGTTATTTAGCTCAGTCACTATTATCACTCACCAAATCATAGCAGCTTGCCTATTTTTTATTATCCCACTTTCCATTTATTTAAATTCAAAGTGATCTTGAACATAAATCTGGTCCCTTGTGCTTCCCCACCCTGCTTTTAAAATGAAGTCGTGTAATGTCTGTAGATTTTCCCCAACAAGTTTAAAATTGGGAAAGCTAATGCTTGTAGAAAATCACGCAAACGGCATCAACTAGGAAAGCAGCACCCACAGGCCCAGAAACACCCCCCACGCCTGCCCCCCCCCCCCGGCCCACCCATGCGCTGTGTTCCATGTTGGAGAGGGATTGTGACTTGTCTGTTAATCATTTCCTCGCTTTTTAAGCTCCTGACTTGGAAGAGCTGGTATTGGGGGATGATTAAGTGGAACTTCACTCTTGACTGAGTCATGTCCTCAAGTGGAAAGGCAGAATCTTATCCTGCTTTCCTGAGAAGAGAGCAGAGAGAAGAGCTTTAAGGGAGTCGGGATCAGGGTAAAGTGGGTGGGGACAGACTTGAAGGGACCTTCCATTCCTGCCCCACACTCTGCCCCGAGCCTTGAACCCCTGAACTGGGTCCTTGTAGCAGCTGATGTTTCTGCGGGTTGAGGACAGATTCAATGACACAGAGGTATTGCTCCATTCTGGTTTTTTTTTTTTTTTTTTTTGAGATTTTGGCGGGCATGATCAGTGGGGCATAGTGGTGGTGCTCTATTTCCAGATGAACACGCTGTTGACTCAGCTCCCAGGTTTTCTCCAGATTTTGTGCAGAGCTTACAGGCCTGCTCTGCGACAGCCCTGCCGGAGTATTTCCCTGGGCATGACTTCCATAAACGTCCCATAGTTGACACCATCTTGAGCCACTCCTAGAAGTGTCCCACCTTCAGATGCTGGCTGTATGCTTGTCTATGCAAAGTCTTATGCTAGATTCTCAATAAGCCAAGCTGTGCTCCACTCTTTGGTGGAGATTATTTTCGAAAATATCTGAATACCTCTGAGATGCAGGTGTTAAGCAACTCATTGCTCTTTTCAGTATTTAATTGTAATGGTGATAGTCTTGGTTAAGGTGGGTGTCGAGGAAGCATCTTTTTTGTTTGTTTGAGGCACACCCAGTGATGCTCAGAGTTTACCTCTCACTCTGTGCTCAGGGATCACTCCTGTGGGCTTGGGGGTGCTGGGAACATGGTTTAGTGGCATGCAAGGCAAGAGCCCTCCCTGCTATATTACTTCTCCCTACAGACCCCAGAAGAGCATTTTTATCTAACTATTCTTCATTAGCAATGCCCTCTGGGCTGCCTCTTCAAGTTCAGGTTCAAGCCCAGGTTCCCCTTGAACACACACCTTGCTTACTTGTCTCTGTGTTTCTTTGCTTATCTCCGCTCTGTGAAACCTGTGTTCTTA